AATGATTTGGTAGTTTTTCCATGTTGACTGGTGACAACATGGACGGCAACATGATCCTTGTGTTCCAAGCACAGGATCAACACCATAGGGTACATAATGTGAAGTGATAGGGAGGGCACCATTGTTAAAATAACTCATCTTTTAAAGCAAGAATATCAACATTTCAAAGAGAAAATATCACAATCATTCTGTTACAAATTTAAAGAAGAATTCCGAAGAAATACTAGAATTAGTGCCCGCAGTTGTATGCCTCTGCACACCAGTCAGGTTTCTCTTACAGTTTACATCCATATCTGTGAAAACATGGATGCTTCACACACATCTTCCCCCTGACAGTACAGAAAATCTATACAATCAGCACAGTTTCAAGATTAGAGTCACCAATTCAGTATCTGACCAAATGTCTCCCCTTCTGTTCCTGAGATATGACATTGAATAATGCGTTTTAAAGTGTTTTGCAGAATATTATGATGTCACAGTGAAGTTGACCTTTGACCTTTTGGATATAAAATGTCATCACTTCTTTATTTATTTTATCTTATTCGACATTTGTGTGAAATTTCTTGAGTTCTTGAGTTTTGGCCAAAAACATGTTTTGTGAGATCACAGAGACCTTGACCTTTGACCTTCGACCACCAAATTTTAATCAGTTCATTCTTCCAAGTGGATGATGTTTGTGCCAAATTTGTGAAAACTCCCTCAAGATGTTCTAGAGGTATCATGTTCACAACAATGAGACAAAGTAACATTGACCTTGACCTTGACTTGGCTACACGCCCAAAAATGTTCTGACCACAGCAAAGATAATAAGAAAATCCAGACAGAGAGCTCTGCAGTCTCTCCAGATAAATACACTGCCTCACAATGGAGTGGGTTATACGTGATGACTGAAAAGGATTACTTTTATACTTTATCTATGTGCGGTTTTCTTAGGAAAATCCAACATAGTTTTCCCTCAAAGACATTACTCACTTAAAATTAGAGAATGTTCATTATTTATGTGGGGGAGGAGGAGGTGCAAAAATGGGGAGATATGTCAAATAATTTTTTAAGCACTGGGGAGGGACTGTTTTTTATTATGGCTTAGGAGAGGTGCATACAAATTTAAATGGTTTTGTTTTGCATTGATTTTACTGCTGATTTTCACAGAGAAAATGACCAAAATTGCCCAAATTACATCATACACCATGCAGAAAACTGTGAAACAAAAATTATCGTGTGATTTTCAAATATCCGATGGTCTATGAACACATCATGTGCGACTAATGCTTCCGTCAGAAAAAACAACAACAAAAAAAACACAACCTTTTTGAGGACTTGGCTCAGATTCCAGAGTTACTCTCTTATCCTGTGGCGTCCTTAAGGCATCTGATCCCGTTTGATTCAGTGGTGGGAACCTCTTGCGACGACACGCCTATGATGACGTCCACCCCAGCAGGATTTGAACCCCGGACCTTCCGCATGGAAGACGGGTGCTCCAAACACTACACTAATGATATTTCATCAAAATCACTTTATTCTATGTCTAATGTAAAATTTGGCCAAAAAGAAACCATTTGCATGAACTAATCAGCGTACACAACTTTTAAAATTTAAAAATCTAAATGAATTTATGGTGGAGGGAGTGTCATGCATTTTTCGCCAGCCAATCAGGGTGGCTCAAGGAAAAATGTTTGTAGCTATGGAGAGAGTAAAAACAAATGAACAAAACAAAACAATAAAGTCACACCCCAGCCACCCTCCTCCTCCTCTAAATGAAGAACAGTCCCTTACTACGAATTTATACCTACAATCAGGTTATTTTCTAAAGTTGAAGGTAATGGCAGTCGCTTATCACTTAACATAGCATATGTTGACAGAAAGCACCATGGCAAACCAGTCTACAGGGAACACAAGGACAGTTTTAGTATCTACATGCCACAACACTGGTCTTTACAAAGCTCCTGCTCCTGTTTGACACCATGGTCTGTGTGGCTCTGTTACAGACAGAGAGCTGAATGCTAATGTGAATGCTATACTATTATAACAGAGTTAAAATATTCCAAAGGTTGTAATCTTCAAATTGGTGTAAACTATTGACCTTATTCCTGAGGGCAGTACTGTAGAAACGATTATGTGTGCAACTTCCGGTGAAATAGCGGAAGTAGCAGTAAGCTAGTTAGTCCCATAGACTGTCTGGGGTTAGTCCCAGTGGCTACTCTTGGTGGCTAACCGCCAACGCTGGTTCTCTTCAAAAGTAATTTGCCTTCAGTTAAGCAAATACTGATTTATTTTTTAACAAATGATTAAGTAATGTTAACTTAGCATTTTCTAAAATGTCTTTGCGGAGCTCTGGTACCTGTTGCACTGTCTGTGTCTGTAATGACTAGCAACCAGTCTAAGCTAAATCTTTGTCCTCAGCAACTGTGTGTTGAACATGTAACCAGAACAAAAAGGGATTGTTCCTGTTGCCAAAGGTACCATTAATATGAGAAATAAGACCACAAGAGTTTCATGAGACATAGCGGAAAAATTATTACATCAGAATTTGCAAAAGAGAATGACACCTAGACCTAGACAGGTCCGTCACTCAACGTCAGTGCGATATCCCTGTCTTTCCCCGTCTGACTTCATTCTCAAAATTGATAGTTATAAAATAAACTCAGCAACATATCTTGAAATATGTATTCAGTCATTATGGCTGAGAATATGTTACTTATTTACCATACTTCCTTTATATCATATTTAAAAAAATGAATGACCAAAGTTATTTCTTTTACTACTACTTTAGATTACTATTACTAAAGTCTGCTGCTAAATTCGGTATCATATTTCACTCAGAATACATTTCTTAATAAATCAGAAGTTACAAAAACATGTAAACTGCGTCATTAATGCAGACGAGCGGAGGATTAGCTGGGAAACATCATATTTATTCACTTTACATGGAGCTACAGTTAATACTGAATTATGTTAAATGTTTGCCGAATGTGTTAGTATCTTTTAATAAGTCATCAGAAATCAGAAATCATCTTTAGAAAGAGCAGATGTTTACCTTAAGCTAGCTCGGGCCATGTTAAAGTTAACAATATTTTAATGGAGCAAGGCAAGCTAATTGCTGGCGTGCTTGGTTGAAAAGAGGAAAAAAACAAAAAACAATGCTTTGAGATGTCTGTCAGAGATGGGAGGGATATAATCACATTATCCCATTTGAGCTATAACAGGTGGTGTGTTCCACATTTTATTTCCCAGTTGCGCTTGGAAAGAAGAATAGAGTACTGTAAACAAACTGTTACCATTGGAAATCGCTAGTTTCGGTTCAACACCAGAAGTTGCACCTGTAATTCACGCAAAGTATCATGGGGGCTAGGAATAAGGTGGATACACTTGTCCAACCAGCAGCAGAAGCAATGTGTCAGTAATGTCCTACATGGACAGGTAGACTGAATGTGGAGCACCTTTGTGCTATTTGTCTGAATTTGACTGCTGGACTTTTTGTGTTGTGCCTCAATCAGCCAATGTATGTACTGTACAGAAATGTTAGCTGAAGCTGGCTAGCCACATCTGTACAAAATATGACTTCTCTCAAAATCTCAGCCCCGGTTCTTTCCATTCTTTTTTTTTTCTTCTGTTTTTCTCATCTTCATATTCTTCTGAGTTGGAGTCATAAAGCCTTAAGATAAATGCAAAGTTTTTTGTTTTGTTTTTGAAACTTTTAGGTGGATACATCTGACTGCCCCAGTGCAAAATGACATTCACTTGTGTCTATGTAATTACTTTCTGTACAATTGCTCCACCTCTAAATATTGTTTTGCTTTTAGTCTGAACACACCATAAAGGGATAGTTCAGAGGTTTTTGAAGTGGGGCAGTATGAGGTACTTATCTATAGTCAGTATACATCATACAGTAGATGGTGGTTGGCGTGCTCCCTGTTTGGAGAAGAAGACGGGACTAGCACCTCAGAAGCTCAGCAGTGCATTACTATGAATGGGGGTTTTATATTTTCAGGGCTTTACCTTGCTGTCACACAGCACTTTCCATGGCACTACATTTTCTCAACCATAGAACTTCCATATTCCTACGCAAAAGTCTAACTGTTTCATATGCTAGCCCCTTTTACACTGGGTTTTCAAGGTATGAATTTTACTCCGTTATTCCGCCTTGCTTGTCTGTATAAACAGTGCAAACAGTGTTTTACTGAAAGCCCTAATCCACAGCAATGCACTGCTGAGCTTCTTCTCCAAACAGGGAGCACGCCAACCACCATCTACTGTATGTTGTATACTGACTATAGATAAGTACCTCATACAGCCCCACCTCAAAGACATCGGAACTATCCCTTTAAGGTGTGTTCAAAAAATTCTTTTTTTTTTTTTTTTTTTTTTTTAACGTTACTTTTTGGGGCTTTTCTAAGAGTACTTTTTGGGGCTTTTTTGCTGGTGGGGGGTGCCTTTGTGCAACTATCCCTTTAATTTGTATTCCTTTGTAGTGTTCCACTACTGTACTTATGTATTTCTGTAGGTTGTGTGTGTGTTTTCATTAGCATTTGCATTGCTTGAATTCTGCAAATCTGTTGTTGGGCTGTCTAAATCTTCTGGATTGTTACTTCACAATATGGCTGTCATCAGGGTGATCCATTGGACAACTGGCTGTGCTCAAACCAAAAATTGGGTTGCTCTCTCTCTCTCTCTCTAT